GAGGGTTTGGTTCTAGGCTCCGAATATGAGGGAGAACATATGTCGATATTTTTTTCTGAGTCTGCATTACTTCACTTAGTGTAACACTTTCTAGTTCCACCCATTTACCTGCAAATGTCATGATTTCATCTTTCTTTACTGCTGAGTGAAACTCCATCGAATAAATGAACCACATTTTCATTATCCACTCATCAATTGAGGGACACTTAGGTTGCGTCCATCTCTTAGCTTTTGTGAAAAGAGCAGCAACAAACATGGATGTACAAGTGTCTCTGCAATAGGATGAGTTATTTGGGTATATGCCAAGGAGTGGTATAACTGGGTTAAATTATAGGTTCACTTGTAGTTTTTTAAGAGTTCTCCACACTGCTTTTGATAGGTGTTGAACAAGTTTGCAGCCCCACCAGCAGTAGATGAGTGTTCCCCTTTCCCTACATCCTCTCCAACGTTTGGTTTCATTTGTTCTCTTGATCTTCTCCAGTCTGACTGGGTAAGAAGAAATCTTGAAGTGGTTTTAGTTTGCATTTCCCTAATTATTAGTGATGTTGAAAATTTTTTAAGATGTTTCATAACCATCTTTACTTCTTCTTTTGACACCTCTCTATTCAGCTCCTTAGCTCATCTTTTAATTGGGTTGCTTTTTGTCTTGATTCTCTGTTTTTTGAGTTAGTTATATATTCTGGATATTAAACCTCTGTTGGATGTGTTGCTGGTGAAGATTTTCTCCCATCCTGTGGGTTTTCTGTTTGCTTCCCTGGTTGCCTCCTTTGATGTACAGAAGATTTTTAGTTTAATGTGGTCCCATTTGTTAATTCTTGTCCTCGTTTTCTGAGCAATTGATGTCCACTTTAGAAAATCCTTTCCTACACCTATATCTTGTAGGTTTTTCCTAATGTTTTCTTCTAACAGTTTCAGTTTCATGCTTAACTTTGAGGTCTTTGATACACTTGGAATTGACTTTTGTGCAGGGTGAAAGATAGGGGTTTAGTTTCATGCTTCTACAGGTGGAGATCCAGTTTTGCCAGCACCATTTGCTGAACATGCTGTCTTTCCTCCAGCGAATATTCTTGGCCCCTTTTTCAAATATCAGTTGGCTGAAATTTCATTTACTCATATTTAGGTTTTCAATTTTGTCCCATTGATCTATGGGTCTATTTCTGTGCCAGTACCATGCTGTTTTTATAACTATAGCTCTGTAATACAGCTTAAAGTCTGGTATAGTAATCCCCCCAGCATTGCTCTTAGTGCTCAGGGTTTGATCTTTTTATGTCTTTGCTGAACTGCTTTGCCTATGTCACTTAAAGAAATTTTATATGTGTGTGTGATGTGTGCATGTTTATATTTTTTGCATATGTGAGCATGCACCTGCGCTCCCAATTGCTGGTCTTTGACAGTTATTAGAACCTTTTTCCCTGCCTTATGGACTTTTTGTTTATTGTTCTTTACCCCTGAAGTGTTTTTGCTTGAATTTTAGTAAGTCACTGAGTCAGGGAAAATTTTCTGAAACTCTTCATCTCTAAGACCCACCACAATTTATTCCTTTTCTATTTCATTCTTGTCTCTTGTCACTGTGGCAATGATGTCATTCTACTAATAGTTTATTTTTGCTTATTTATTGTCTGCTTTTATTTCTAGAACAGAAATTTGGTGAGGTAGCAGCTGGATCTTCGGTGGTATTGTTTTAAAAACACACAAGATCTACTCCCTGTATATTTGTTAAATAAACAAATGAATAATTTAAGCTATGTATACTGTGAAGGAATTTTAAATAGTATGTGTGCAGATTTGTTTTGACATGTGTTAATTTAAAAATGCTAGTAATAATCAGAGTTGTCATTTTATGAATCCATGGTTATGATAACAAAGGGAATAAACTTATTTGCCTTTTACTGAGGGAAGTAGCATACTTTAATGTAACTTTTCTGTGTGTGCATATGTGTTATATGTAGCAACTGAATATATTTGTTTAGATGAGCAGGGTGTTACATCTGCTACCTGACCACTGAAGTGAGATGTGGCAGATGTCTGTTTCAACTTTGTGTTGTGGGGTGAGAAAGAGGGACAGACAATATTTCTTTCCTAAGATATATGTTAGCCTAGTTTTGGTTCTTAATCAAAGTATGTAACGTTAGTTTTAAATTTTACGTTGTGTCTTGAACATTGAAATACAAAGGGAAATAAATCTCTCATACTTTTTCTGTTAAAAAGAGCCTTTTCTGTTCATAGCATTTAAGTACAGTTATCTTTCCAAGATATCAACACTCGTTCACCTAAACCCTTCCTTCCTATGTTAATACCACTTTCTGGCTCCTCTTTGATGGAGTGATGTAGGATAGGACAGAGTAGAAGAGAGATGGTGTGAAAAAAACACCAGAAGTATATTGATATTTTCATTAAAAATTGGAAAGTCACACTTAGAATATTTAACATCAGAATATTCTTCTTTCAATAATGAGAGAGCAGTTGTTTAAGAACTAATAATACAGTCACTTTCATCTGCTTGTATAAGAACTAAATATACATGAACTAGGCCTAGGAATGTGCCAGATGCTCTCTGTGGAGGTCTTCTTGATGGTCAGAAGCTCACAGTTCACTCAGCAGTGAATACTATGAGCACTCTGTGAACTGCCATCATGCACTTGCTGTGTTGGCTTCCCTTTGCAGGTAAATAAATGGAAACCATTTTCTGAAATCTTTGGCAATACGTCATTCCAGATAAACACATTATAAGAGACTCAGTGCTGGAAACTGGTATCATTATTTTTCTTTTGATTTGAATATTTCTAAACTGAATTTTAGTTTTAAAATATTTATCATAGGAGTATGAGTGTATTGCCTGTAAGTGCATCCTTGTCATGCAATGCCCACAGAGTTCAGAAGAGGGTATTGGATCCCTTGTTCCTTGGGTTATGGACAGTTGTGAGCTGGCGTGTGGTTGCTGGGAACTGAGCCTGGGTCCTCTGTAAGAGCAGCCAATATTCTTAACCACTGAGCCATTTTTCCAGCCCCTTAATATCGACTTTTAACCAAAGCAAAAATTCAGATAATCTTATTCTCACTTTCTCTTTGAAACATCAGAGCTTATCAGCACAGTACAGTATGCTCTGGTGGTGAATGTACCCACTTCTTAGATGACTACACCTTCTCCCTGCCTTTTTGAAGCAGTGGGTAAACTTCATAATAACAACAGAGGATCTGAGAACAGGCAGAGGAGTTTCTTTACACAGCCTCTGTTGCTGTCTATTGTTTCTGTTTACCTATTACCAAGTCAGAAGCAGCAACATTTTCATTATTCACAATACAAATTCTTTTTTCAAATTACAACATTTTTGTAAATTGAAAAAAATTCTGAAAGATCAATATATTTAATATTAAAACACCAGCTTAGTTTTCTAAATAATCAAGATTTCCTGGCAAAAAAAGGATCTTGAGAGAATAGGTTGCTTTTCCAATTACCAGCTTAAACTTTGGTTAACCTCAAAAATAGGTAAACAAGGCTGGCAAGATGGCTCAGCAGTTAAGAGCTCTGGCTGTTCTTGCAGAAGACCTGGCCTCGAATTCCAGCACCCACATGACAGCTAACAACCATTTGTAACTCCACGGTATCTGACACCCTCTTCTGTGCTCTTGGGCACTGCATGACACAGGTGTACTTACACACATGCAGGCATAACACTTCTACACATGAAAAAAATACATAAAATAGGTGAACATATTTCAATGTGGGTATTTGAAGGAATGATAGATATTTTGTGGTCCTTGTCATTTTATGTTTTGCATTTTTTATTGAATTTTTGATTTTCATACACTATAGTTTGAAGATATTTAGATCCACTCCCCTATCCCCACCACCCCCACCCAAGTTAATGAACTCTCATCTGTCTGTCTATCTATCTATCTATCTATCTATCTATCTATCTATATCTATCTATCTATCTATCTATCTATCTATCTATCTACCTGTCTTTCTGTCTGTCTGTCTATCTATCCTAATATATATGTATATATATATATATATATATATATATGTGTGTGTGTGTGTGTGTGTGTGTGTGCATGCATGTGAGTGTATGTGTGTAAAATGTTGCCTATAGAGTATGATTTGTGTCCCCAGTGTCCTTCAGTGTTGATCCATTCAATGGGCCCACCAAGAATCCCAACACATAGATATTTAGAGGAAATATTGTGATAAGTTTTGTAAAAATGAGATTTTATAGCATTAACAAGCTGATATTTAGCTTCAGCTAAGTGGCACTGTCCTGAAGAAGGCTTTTGAATGTGTGACATGTTCCATAAGATTTCAGTGTGTCTACTCTATGTGGCTGTTCTTTCCATTATCTTGCTTTTTTCTAATATAAAATGGGTTTATTCCTAGACATTTTATTTAATTTTTTGATATTATTGTGAATGGGAGGGTTTCCATGAACTCTTTTTCTGGTTACTTCTTATTGGTATATAGAAATCCTACTGATTTTTGTAGATTGACTTTGGAACATGCCACATTGTTGAAAGAGTCGATCATTTCTAGGTGTTTTCTAGTGGAATTTTTTTGGGATTTCTCATGTATAACATCATATCATCTGGAAATAGGGATAGCTTGACTTATTCTTTTCCATTAGTACTCCTTTAATTTCCTTCTTTTGTCTTATTGCCATAGTAAGAGTTTCAAGCACTATATTAAAAAGGAATGGAGGTTGTGGACAGCCTTGTCTGGTACCTGATTTTAATGGGAAGATACCAGCTTTTCTCCATTTAGAATGATGTTGGCCATGGGTTTGTTGTATATACCTCTAGATTTGTTGAGGTATGTTCCCTCCAGTTCAATTCCCTCCACTACTTTTAACATAAAATGGGGAAACAAAGGCTATTCTAATGCAATCTCTTAATGACAATGTGTGATAACTTTAAAGATAATGTTATTATTACAGTGAGATATTATTTGGAGTTAATTGTAATTTCTTTATTTTCTCTAGTCATACTCTTAAAAAGTAATTGAGGAAATGGAGGCTTTGAATGACAGCAGGGTGACAGAATTTTTTCTCACTGGCCTATCTCACACACGGGAGGTGCAGCTGCTCCTATTTGTTGTATTTCTCTCTTTCTACCTATTCATACTTCTGGGAAATACACTTATTATTTGTACCATCAGACTTGATCCCCAACTGACTTCTCCCATGTATTTCCTGCTGGCTAATCTGGCCTTCCTTGATATTTGGTACTCCTCCATCACAGTGCCTAAAATGCTTGTATACTTCTTTGCAGAAAGGAAAATAATTTCCTTCCATGGGTGCATTGCTCAGCTCTTCTTCCTGCACTTTGTCAGGGCATCTGAGATGTTCCTGCTCAGAGTGATGGCCTTTGACTGCTATGCTGCTATCTGCAACCCTCTCCACTATGCAACCATCATGAATCGACATCTCTACTGTGTCTTGGTGGCTCTTTCCTGGACAGGGGGCTTCATTCATTCCATAATACAAGTGGGTCTTATTGTTTGACTCCCCTTCTGTGGACCCAATGAATTAGATAATTATTTCTGTGACATCATACAGGTTGTCTGGATTGCCTGTGCCAACACCTTTGCAGAGGAATTAGTGATGATCTTAAGCAGTGGGCTGATCTCCGTGGTGTGATACATTGCTCTGTTAATGTCCTATGCCTTCCTTCTGGCCATGCTCAGGAAACACTCAAGCTCAGGTGAGAGTACCAGCAGGGCCGTGTCCACCTGCAATTCCCATATCACCATAGTGGTGCTAATGTTTGGACCGCCCATCTACATTTACGCTCACCATTTGACTCATTTTCCCTAGATAAAGTGGTATCTGTATTCCATACAGTAATATTCCCTTTACTTAATCCTGTCATCTATATGCTACGAAAGAAGGAAGTAAAGGCAGCCATGCAGAAGTTGGTGAACTGATGTATTATATGTAAATAGAAGTGAAACATAAATATTTGATAGTTCTCCTGGGGAGCATTGTGTTGAAGTAGGATTTATTTATTTATTTATTTATTTATTATTTGCTTTTTTGAGACAGGGTCTCCCTGTAGCCCCAGCTGGCCTGGAACTCACTATGTGGACCAGGCTAGCCTTGATTGCACAGAAACCTGCCTGTCTGGGTTATCTTTTTGTTTTAAAAGACTTATTTATTTTTATTCTATGACTGTTTGCCTGAATGTGAATGTGTGTCCTACATGGGTGCCTTGTCCTCCTGGAGGCCAGAAGAGGGTGTTTGAATCCCTGGAACTGGAATAACAGATAGCTCTGAGCCAATCTGTGGATACTGGTACCCGAACGTGGGTTCTATGCAAAAGCAGCAACTGCTCTTAACCTGAGATCCATTTGTCCAGCCCCTTATCTGAGTTCTTAAACTCACCATCTCCTGTATTTCTCTAGATGAAAAACAAAGATATTAAGATGGAAACAATTTACTTACACCCACCCTGGAATACTAGGCGACTGTTACTAGAATTTAGATTTAATAACAGTCCGCTGAAACACACACTTTCACTGATGCCTATTGAGTAGCTACTCTGGAACAGCTCTGCAAACACAATGTGTGTTGAGAAATAAATGAGACTTTGTAGATACACTCAATACACTTACAATGATGCCAGCATGTAAATATGATTAATTTCATATTACCATATTTCATTCTTGGTGCAGTAAGAGTATTTAATAAACTATCTTCCTGAGCCTGGAAAAGATTATCTACCTTGCCCTTTATCTCCAAGTTTTCCTGAGACTTGGTGGAATTTGAGGATTCTTTTCTAGAATCTATCCCAACTCCTACTTCAGGTGGCACATGTTTAACAGTATTGGTGGCAGAGTTGAAGAGTTTTTGGAATGAACACAATGTTTTTGTATTCAGAACATAAGATAATTTTTTGCTAGGAGACTATAAAATTTCAAGTTTCTTCTAGTGAATTAGCAGTTTTCAGTTTTTGTGTAATATCCTTCAGAATAAAAGCAGGTGTGGAGGAAAGGTGCTTTTGGTTGATAGGAATCAGTAGACATCTAGTTGTGTGCTTTTTTTTTTTAGAAAAACAAGACCTATTATTTCATTTGTCATTTTTGTTTGTTTCCTGGGCCTAATTTTGTCTATCATATTAGACTTAAATAAATTTAGCAGTGTAATTAAAAGTTCAACACTATAATTCAGTTTTTCTCACTAAATCATATTTTTCAGCTTGAATGGATACCTACTTACCTACTTAGAAGTGTCTTCCTACATTCCTGTAGAGAACTATTTATTAGAGACTAAGTTCTTATTCTCTGATGGAGTGGTGGTACACAATATTTGCTCTTTGCTTCAGAATCTATTTTCTTACGATGACCTCCATCTTCTGTGCTACATAACTTCTTTTCTAGGAGCATGATGGCACAGTTTGGAGTTCTGATTCCTGAATTTTGAGTTGACTTCTCATCACCTGAGAAGGAGTAAAACAGTAGGCTTCTATAAGTTTCACAACTAAAGGCATGAAAATACAAAGAATAAACATGTACAGAATAAATGATGTTTTATGTTTCCAGACTTTATATTATCTTGCTGTCTTCTTTTTTAGTAGAAGCAGCCCATATAAAGATGTAGACGTTTTCTATATTTTGTAATTCATGCAGAGTAGCTGTGATTAATGTTAATTGAAAATAGACCATTTACTTGCTTTGGTTTCCAAATATCAATATATGGATATTTGCTGAAAATATGGAAGCTAGTAATAAAAAATGAAGAAAACCCAGTAACATGATAAATAACTATTTATAAAAAATAAACATTTAAAATTAACAGTGACAGGGAAGAGTGGAACCTTTGGCAACTACTGAGCTGTGACCTAGCATGACTCATGGAAGACATTAGAATAAGGTCATTTTGCCATCCTCACCAGGAGACATGTGGAGATGCCTGAAGCATTTTTGATGGTTCTAACTGCTATGTCATTTTGTACTGCTAAACATCCTGTAGGTCATTGGATAGCTTCCTTCTCAGGGAATTACCTGGCCCAAATGTCAATAGTGCCAAGCCTGAGAAATTTAGTGAAGAACAAAAACATAGGCCACTGAAGGAGAGAGGTATCATTCAACAGCATGCACAGTCTTGCTGCAGTCAGTTCCATGGTGTGGCATCTAATGAGTCCAGAACCATCATCTGGGAAATAACCAAATCTGCCAGATTCCTTTTATTCCATGTAAAGTAATATTAAGTACTTCCTAGTTAATTTAACATGTCCTACAGTCTTCTTGGGGGTGGGGGAGTGAGAGGTTTTCATTCCCTGCTATTCCTTATTTTCAAAACGTGCTACTGAACTTCTATTTTTAAAATCAGCAATATTTAGATTGAGGAACTTAATATCTTTAGCTCAGGACTGAAATTTTATTTACTCATACTGACTTGTGGGAGGTTTTTAGAACCCTGTCTTCATCCATCACATTGTCTTTCACTAATCTCAGTATTATTCAAATAGATTTTACTGGACCTGAAAAATAAACCTTCACTTAATTTTCCAAGTGATCTTTGCATATATCCTACTTTTAATTACTATACAAGCTCATTCAAAGTTCAGAATGTAGGATCATATAAATAAAAATACAAAATGTCATTGATAACCATTAAAAATTCTTGGCTTTCATTCTACACAACTCTATTAAAAGCAGAGCAGTTGGCCTGTCATGGTGTAGTCCATAATCTAGTTGACAATTAAAGAAATGGAAGCAGGGGAAGAGTAAAAGCTACAAAATTCTTTAAATAAGTAAATATAAACTTGAGATTTTTTTTAATTTTTTTTATT